AACATTCAAAGTAACACTAAATATGCAATGGAACTTCTTTAGGTTCATAATACATGCAATGGAACCATTAACGAAGGCTTATTAGATTTTCCTTAGGGGCTTAATCGATGTGTCAAGACATGTTAAAATATTTTATCTAAATAATTAGTGTTTGTACACAAGTTCTTTGTTTAAAGGGAAGTTGAATTATAATTGTATTACTTTTTTTTATAGGAAATACACACATAGATAATGATATTAGCTATTATGAAATACTTAATGAAGTGGTTTAGTTATAGTATCCAACTTATCTTTAATGCAATGCCTACTTGCACAACTATGAGTAGTTTGATTATGTTTCTAATCGATGAACACGAACTCTCAATAAGTATGATATCACTTAAGTCAAATGAACCAAACATATAAAAGTTTAATGCATCACAAATATCATCTAGAATTGTATGATTAGGCATATTTCTCCTAGAAATATATCTTGATTGCGACTCAAGACCTGTGATTCTGGGTATGATCACTTAAATTGACATAAAACGATAATTTATACTTTTTAAAATTGAAGAGGTATTTCTACTAGTTATTAGAACATCTCAAGCAAATTTGACATATTTTTTATATTCCTGATAGACATCAAATGGGTGACATGATCTCCGCAACATGGAAGAAGGGAGAGATGCCCATGTGGGCGGGTCAGGATGAATGGGATAATTTGAATAAAGCCTAAGCCTCTACATATTATTAAAGGGCGAGGCTAACAAACCAAAAAAATAGGATGATGGAGGGATGAAGAGGTGGCACAATCTATAATTGTATTTTTGTTCCACTGAATAGAGCACTACCGAAGACTTATGTAATAATCTTATAATTATCATTATCTCATATACACAGGCCAAGCAACTTGACCAAGTTCCACCCACTACAGAGTTGCATTTCCTAATGTATCGGTGTCAGGGCATGCATTTGTGTTTTTGTGATCACTCTCATCATATCAATGTAAGAGAATTGATTTTCTATTTTTTGTCTATTAATAATTAAAATGATAATTAATCATTGATTTTAATTATGCAAAAAGAATATGGGCAGCTCTGTGAGAGGCATAGGGAGATGGCAAGCCAAACCTCTCAATCTGCCAACAATAGTTGAAGTCAGTCTAGCACTACTCAGTCTAATTTTGAGCTATGTACACACTAGATAGGGAAGAAGAATGGGAGAGTGTATGGCCTTAAAGCAAAGGCAGTGCATTCCGTGGGTGGCCCTAGCTCATTATAGGACAAGCATGACAAGCTTGACAAGAGACTCAGTGACATGAATAAAGAGCTTCAAATGATGTGTGTAGTCCAGTAAATGGTTGCGGGTGGTCTAATGAGGAGGTGGATGACGACCAGGATAATGATTTTCCAAATGTGTTTGTTGATGTTCCCTTACTATAAGGACTGATTATTTTTCCATTTATGATCATGTGAGGATTCATTCTATATAGTTGTGAATTTTGAACATTTAGATCCATATTTTTATAATTAAGTTTGGTATCATTATTTAAATTTGTTAGTGATTTGTTTTCAACTGTTGTGATGATGGATAACTAAGTTGTTGTGATGCTCGTATTTTGCACGTGCAGGTATGTGAAAATTTATTATTATTTTTTATGTTTCTCACAAATCATTGAAAAAGTGTCAGAAAATTGGATGCAAACCTGCAATTACATAATCGATATATGGTGATGCAAGAAATTTTTTTTACCTATAGTGGACGCAAAGACCAATGTTAATGTTGCGTCAGTCTCTTAGCCAATGAAAAATTATAATGATGGAGATTATGGAGGAAAAATCTAACCTAAAAAATGTTTGACGCAAATGTTGACATTACCTCATTTATTGACACCTATTTTAATAACAATTCTTTCCAGACACTAGTAGAGACTTGCATCGGATTTATCCATGATTACTGTCGGAACTTTCTTACTCCAATCACCAGAATTCTTGTAATAGCTGCATGAACTTCTAGTTAACTCCATGTTTACAGTGTATCTTGGATGAGTTTCTTCTATTTGTTATACTCCTCTTCTTGTTTTTGGTATGAACCAACCTTACCGCATTTCTTAGGATATTAAATTTAAATCAATCGTACAAATCAAACTAAAGTAAAAGAGCATAGAAGTAGAAAGAAAGTGCTCATCAATGAACAATAAAAGGGGGAAAATGTGTAATATTTATTCATGAAATGATCCCCTATTTATAGATAAAGTGAGGACACAATATGTTAAGTTACGTTTATCCTCCTTATGTAGGGCTTGTACAAATTATTATAGGAATCTAACCTTTGTGGGCCAAGAGCCTTGCCGCTCTCTGGCTCGGCCGGCTGGACTCAGTAAGAATTTTGTGAGCCTTTTCAATCGCCTAGATCTGAGTGCATCACCAGTTGGATAGATCCATAAAGACTGCCAATCAGCTCACTGGTTGTGGATCGGTAGGACATATCTGATTGGCTCAATTTTGCGGACCGGTAGACATATTCTGATCGTCGACTCTTAATCTCCATAAAGGAGCTTCTATAGACAGTATGAGGCTAGATCATTGGGCAAAGGGTAAATCACCCTTGTAGTTGATCTACCTAAAAATAACACATTTTTAGTATATGTTTCATGTTTATTTTATTCTTTTAGTATATGTTTCATGTTTATTTTATTCCTATTTTTTATGATATTTTACTTTAAAGGAAGGTATTTTGCATGTTTTTAGTTTTAGCTATATAGAATGGACCTTTGGAGAAAATGAGGATAAAATAAAGCAAAAGTGGATGCTTTTGTATGGTGTCATAGTGCTACCCTTGGTGTCGTAGCTCCAGTATACAGGCTAAATGGGGGCTATAGTGCCCACGCCAATAACCAATTTTCTAGAATATTCATTGAATTTGACCAAATTTAGAAGGGGTGCTTGAAGTGACCCTTCGTGATTTTTAATAGGGCCAAGTTCTAGTGAAAAGGGAGGCTGGGTAAAGTCTTTTTGGTGTCAGTTTGGGGTCATCTTGGAAAGTTCAGTTGGAGCCTAGCATGTGTGTGCGAGTGATTGAGTGAGACACTTTTTTTTGTGTAAAAGTTTGGAGATTGGCTTCAAGAAACTTAGGATTTTCTTAGGGAAAAGAGGTAAAAATAAGTATCTTGTATTAGTATTTAAGTTTTTGTTGTAAGACTTGGATATCAATACAAACTATGACTTTTTGTTTTATCTCTAAGAATTCTGAGTAGTTCTCTTTCTTTCTCTTTTCAAGTGGGAATTAATTTTGTGGGATGAGAATGAATTGAAGATCTCTTTTTTATTTTTAAAACATTGTGATAGTATTTTCACCAGTTCTTCATTGACTTTGCAAACTGCTCATTTGTATCATTAAAATCCATTGAGAAACATAATGACCCAGAAAGGATATGATTTCACCAACTAATAAGTATTGCATTTCATTATGGGCAGAGATGTTGTGATCACTTGAGGGAGTCCAACTAAATATGGAGGTAAACTTTGATGGGCTCAGAATTAATGTTTTAGGGTGACAGACTAAATTCTCTTATCAATTTAACTTAGAGTTTTGATCGTAAGAGTTCCTAGTAGGTTTGTGAAGAATCTGGAAGTGAGAGGCTAGAATGTACTCAGCATTACTACAGAAGCTGGTGAGAAACTCTAGGTTAGCCAATGTTCGTTGCAAGCACTGAGAAGGGGTAAGGAAAAGGAATGCTCCTATTTGGCACAATATAACATTTTATCTTTTTCATCATTCAATTCGTACCCTAATTAACATCTCTTTGCAAGGAAAATGATCTTTTCATAATATTTCAAACCCTCTTTTAAAGTATTTTAAACGATGTTAGTTTTTAATCTTTGTCAGTCTTTTAATCTCTGTTTTTATTTTTTGCATAAACTTAGTGTTAAAGTGTTACCAATATTTCGAAATAGTTTTCCTATGTAATATCTGGAGTTTAGATTGAAGTTTTGTAAGTCAATATTATAGAATTTCAGCTTTCCTATATTACTTGAAATGATATATATGCTTGCGTAATAATCATATTGTGAAGTTTATTATTTATTTTTATTTATTCACACAAGCTGCTGAATATAATTTGAGTCAAATTTTTTACAATAATTTGGAGTTCAAAAATCTGCATAGTTGCGGATTGGGTCAGCAGTCTTCCCTTTGACAAGTGGATCCTGATGGGATGGCTTAGACCTATTGTATTTTCTTAAAGAGATAAGGGGAGCCGATTGAGTGATCCAAGTATGACAGAGTCACAGGACTAGGCTCTCTCTTGGATTGACTTCATTAAGATGCTAGACTTGGGTGACCCTTCCTCTGTCCTCTGAATGAGCCGCTTGAGCTAATAGCACTTTGATTGTCTTTAGGACTTAGGCAGCCTCGGGTTTCCATATCCGTTCCGATATCTGATTCCTCAATCTAACTTTGTATGAGCCCTCTTGGTAAAAGAGCCCTTTTCCTTGGACCTTCAGATGTTCTCAGATTCATGTTGGAAAAAATTATATGCACGCAACCACTTTGGCTCCACCTAATTTAGTAAAAAAAAATTGTATAACCATTTTTTTATGTACAGATCTGAAATTTAAAGAAATTTAATCGCTAAAATACATATGAATCTATACGGAGCCTCAACAAATCTGTAAAAATAGAAGTTAAGAAAAAAAAAAATAACACATCTGTATTAGAAACAGAGGTAAAAATTATCCGATTAAGATGAGCCGCGTCATCGGCTTACATTTAATTTGTATTTTTAATTTAATTATACAGAAAAAATATTATTTATAATTAAGAAAAATAAGAAATTCCAAACAATAATTATAGCATAGAGGAAGTTACTGGTATGCCTGCTAGATATTTCTGTGCTTCTTTCGATCGATCAAAGCCGTTCTATTTTTATGTGTTCTACCCCCCCGCCTTTTTTGCATCCATACACACGCATATATGTCGTGCCTCTCTCGTCTGCTCCAATCTCTCTGAGAAGAAAAATGGCGAAGTGTATTTTATCAAGACTATTCTCTTGCGCCAGTCCCAGCGACATCACCGGCGACGGTGGTAACAGAGAGGTCAGCACTTCGTCGCGACACAGCTTTTCTTGCAGTCTGATGGAGGAGAACGTAGCTATTGCCGAGTCTACCATTGCCAAATGGGATTTCGACTCCTCCAACTTCCGCGACAAATCTCTCATTCGCGCCAAAAAGCTCATGCAGACTGCCATACGCCGCCTCGAGAAGGAGTTCCACCACATCCCTCCTACCAATCGTCAACATATCGACTCCGTTAGCCGCTCATCCTCATCCTCATCCTCATCCTCATCCTCGTCCTCTGACGAAGACGATATCCATCCCTCCACATCTGACGCCATCGCTGAACTTCGCTCCATCGCGGAATCAATGATGGCTAATGGTTATGGCATGGAGTGCATCCGTATCTACAAGCTCTTACGCAAATCGATCCTTGAGGAAGCCCTATTCCTCCTCGGATTCGACGTCCACATTCCTTTTTCCAACTTCCACAAGATCGATTGGTTGTCCTTGATCTCAGGATCAATATCTGGCTTGTTGCCGCTCGGATCACGTTCCCCT